GTAGTGTACATGAAGAGAGGACTAAACACTGATTCATTTAACAACCTTGCACCAACTACATGTCTTACCAAGGAGCCAGAGTTGAATCAGAGTCAAAACTGGCAAAAGTGGCAAAAGATCAGTGCATTTTATGTAATATATAAAGTTGAAATTCATGCATAAACCTCAGAGGTCAGCCTAGCTATCTGCCATACTCTCCTCCCCTGTTTGCACCACGAGCTCTTTTCCCGCTAAATTTATGTCACACAAGTCTCGAGTATCCTGCTCTGAAAGCATGGAGGGAAAGCTGGATTTATACATAGAACTTCAAACGAGAAAAGCACGCACGTCCCCAGAAAAAACATCTAGACGAGAGTGTATGTTATGGTTAAATGGTGTGCCTAGCTACAAGAAATGTTTTTTATTGGATGTATTCTTGTCACAAGGCAGAGTTTAGCTCTCAGGTTTTGTATGGCATTTAAAGATAGTCTATGATTTCTCCACTGGAAAACTTTTCAGGCTATAGAGTTTCTCATGTAGTAAGTTAGGAAATACAGTGTGATAAAATTGTGGTAGAAAGGAGACTTAACTGAGGTGGGATTGTTTGAGAGAGCAAGGACGTACACGTAGCAAACATCAGAGGAAGTCTCCATGTTTTCAGAATACAAAGTCACTGTCTGCAGCCCTTGTAAAAGAAGGACTTAAAGTGCACATTAAAACATGAACACTGCAAGAGTTATTTTTATTTCCAGCCTTTTAATGCGACGGACAGAACAAAAACAAAATCCATTGGAACAGCTCACTTTCCAGTGACAACAAGACACAGATTAAATCAAAAGAAAAAAAAAAGGGTTCAAATGAAAAAAAGGAAACAAGGAATTGGAACTGGCTATTTCACACACACAGCCAGCAGAACATCTAAGTGAAACATTTCATTAATGCATGACACTGGGTATTATATACAGTGGAACTTACAATGTGAATACATTTTGACCGCGCTAGCATTACATACAGCAAAGAAGTTTCTTTTGTTTTGTTTCCTTCACAGTTCCATGGCTTGATTCTTTCTAAAAGCAGCATTTGCTAAAATGTGAGTGAGAAACTGAGGGAGAAACTTGATAGAAATGTAAAGTATGGCTCTCAAATATACATAAACCTAAAAATATGGTCCCAGGTTTTGTGTGTCCTTTGAAGAGTCAAAGGACAGAAGCAGGGGACATAAATGGACCTAGGACCTCTTTAACAGTAAGAGTAAACTATGTTGTACTGTACCTTAAAGCAGGACCTAGAAGAGACCTTCACATCTGCAGAAAGCTCAGCTCCACGCAGCCTGGCTCTGTGCCGGCCAGTGAACCCCTCCCTGGGGCTGGAAGGCTCCTAAGAGCAGGCAATAGTTGCTCACTGCACTTCTCTGGTGCAACCAAGTCATATCTAGCTGCCTGACCTCTCCCCAGAGTGGAGAATATTTGGCTCTGGACTCGTATTTTCCACCCTTTCCTAATCTAAGAGATCCATAGACTGCCATGTATAAGTTGCACAGCATTTTAAGGGGACAAGAATCATGTGTTCATGGAAAGGGTCGCCCACCCAATCCCAAGCTGCACCACAAGTAGGACGTAGCAGAACCAGAGGTGATAGCAAAAACAGTCTTGCACAGCTGAAGCAAGGGGAGAGGTATGCAACCAACAGTCAAACTATCAGGGAATATAAAGAGACAGAACTCTTCTTGTAATACTTTTGGTCTTTTGTAATAGCAACTGGGCTTTCCATTCCTCCAATGGCTGTTTCTGCACGCTTGAAAGCTCAGTAAGGAACTGCTCCTGTGACCCCCTATAACTGCTGTGCAGATAAAGACAAGAAGATGCAGCAGGCAATTTGGATTCCCTAGACCCATCTTTTCCATGCCACAAAGACCCTGGCAAAGTCGCTGGACAGATGTGCCATGTATGAATGAAGTCCAGCTCTTCTCTAGAAGAGGTCTTTGAGGTTTAAGGCAGGTCCCTGTCTTCGTCCTCTGTGCCGTTCTTGCAGTAATATTCATGAATCTGAGGAAACAGTGCTCTGCAGGAACTGTCAGCGAAGTGGGCCTCTGATAGGCAGGAGCCTTCCTTTTTTCTGTGGATGGTCCACTTTATCAGAACTCCAAGACAAAGAAACTGTTCACTGCAGCAAATTAGGCAGGGGGAACCACTGAAGGAAACATGCTGGTCTTTGCACTGCAGGTGTGATGCTGACTTTTCATCAGAGGTGATGTCCCATAAGAGATCTCCTGCACGGTGCTCTGTGGCTCTGTGGTTTGGGCTCAGCCTAGCAGGTGGTCCACAGCTCAAAACACAGCCAGTGCTGAAGGGACTGCCCCCTACATTTTGCTCTTGAGAGTAGTGTGAGGCCTAGACAGCTCTAATTCGTTGCAAGGATAATAAACAAACAAGTTGAGGGTACTGGCCATATCTTGCGTACACTGAAGCTGGGTGGGAGTCATCACCCATAGCATAAGTATCACAAAGGTAAACGCCTGAACCTGACCACTACTCTGGATATCTCTGTTATCAAAGGACAGGAATAGGGACATCCAGTGCAACCTATCTTCTCCTAAGCATGGTTTCTGAGAAAGGTCACATATTGGCTGTTTCTTTCAACTGAGAATTATGGGAATCCAGGGCGATTAGTTCAGACTCAGACATCTATCTAACTTTTAGGTATCTACAGTTAGGTTATATGGTTTCCCCTTAGTTTTCCTCTTCCGTCTTCTCTGTTCTTTACTGGACTTTCCCAGTGCTACTAGCTGCAGTGTGTGTTTGCATTTTGTATTAGGTCATGAACTCACTGGTCAAATGTCAGGGGTAGGAGCAGGATCAAGACAACGTCCTCTGTTCTTGAACCATGCATTTTTAGAGGTGAAAAGTGTCTATTCATTCATGTGGGTAGCCAGGGTGACACAGACAGTAAGCTCCTATTACTCTTTACCTTGTCCCAGCTAATCTCCCGAACACAAAATTTACCAAACCAGACTCTGTGAAAAAGTGATTCTGTAAAGAAGAAAGGCTTATAAGACTGGGTAACCTTTCCTAATATCACGTTACCATTTCTGTCACCTTAAGACCTCATTTTCCTCCATCTCAGAAAATTGATGTAGAAGTTTTTCAAAATAAATATTGTCATTAGAGTCATTGTACAATGTCACTGGAGAACACAAATAGTCAGGTTTGTTGTCTCAACATTGGTTATATAGCCAATTAAGAGTAAGTGATTGGTCAGATAAATAAAGATGAGTTCTGGCATCACAGAGCAACACAACACAATAGTCCAGAACATGAAACAAACTACTAGTTGTTTTTTTTCCCCAAATACAGTGTGGTAAGTGGCATGAGCAGCCCAATAGGGATGGTTGAAGCATAAAGACCATGATGATCTTTGCGGTGTTGAAATATTTAGCTGCTTCTCACCATGCGAAACAACCAGACATTCTTTGAGGAAAAAACGCATTCTGGGCTGCGATTCTTGACAGAAGCTATGAACTGCTGCCAGACTGAAAGCACATAATTATGCTCACTCCTACCTTAGAGAAGGAACCTTGCTGTTTTGAACACAAATCAAATAAGGCCCTAAGCTACCCATAAAATGATGAAATGAGGCATAATAACCCTAGTTATTACAACAGCTCATGATTTTATCAGTTTCATAAACCTCAGAATAAATCTCAAAAATCCCAAATAGCCTGTTGTAGCCTAGCTACTCTGTAACTGCTTATCCCTGATGGATGTGATGACAAAAGAGTGATGCTCAGTAAAAGGTTCGTGTCATTGGCAAGGACTTGCTTCTTGTGATCTAACAGCACTCTGTACCCTTCTTCTGTCCTCTACAGTGGTGCTGAGACTCACTTCCATAGCTGTCTGGGGCTGGCGCTGATGTGAGCTATTGACGGCCTCTGTGCAGCTAAAGGCAGCGGTTTTAGACTTCAGTCTTGCTGGATTTCAGCCTAGCTTTGCTTATTTTTCTTAAAAAACAACAAAAAAAAGAGGGAGCCAAAGAAAGATTAAGAGGAAGGTCACTAGCAAAAGTATGAAACACCTTTTCATGTCACAAAACATCTTAGTGAGACAAATTCTCTGCATTAAGTGATAGTTTGTGGTCAATTCTGGTCTCTCACTGAGCTTGTTAGGAGGATATAATTAGCGTTATCTGGGCAATTGTGAGCATTGGTATTTTGTTTAATAGTATGCTTTTCGTTCTTGCTTCCCAAGAAAATATATCAAAAAATGCATGATTCACCGTGCTTCTAGGTGCAACAGAACTGAAGTCATATGATAAAAAGGGCATATGAATTTCAGAAATGATCTTTACAGGATGTCAAACTTAACTATCACACTTAATAGAGAATTTAATGTTCTGTACAGTGAAAGCTTGCTGTGTGCGTTCTCTGTATAACAAGTTAAATGGCTATAAGTAACTGTGCTTACAGTGCTTCAATGAGACCCAAATATATAAGAAAATCAAACATCATATCCTTTAACTAATATGGCTAAAATGCTGGTAAATTCTTAATTACCATCCTCTAGATATTAGACAAAAAGTTCCCTATTTACACTGGATAAAATGTACACATTTGGTTTGCTGAATGCTCCAACGTCATACCAGTTTCTCCTCTATGAAAGTTGGTAGGAAAAAAAAAATCTTAATCATCATAGAAATATAAACTCCCTGTGATCAATACATTTAAATATTTGGTGTCTGGCTATGAAGAATGATGTATCTCTAAATCGGTCATCGCTCCAGGCAATCTTGATTTAGTGTGATTAGTTTTTAATGTCTCTTTTAAGGTCTTCTTATAAATGCAAAAATGAAAAATTATAAATTCCAATGACTGATCACTTCAGTGTGTATATGTATGCACCCATGTGTAAATGCACACACACACACGTGTGTGTGTGTGTGTGTATATATATATATGTATATACACATACATATATATATATACACACACACACACACACGTGTGTGTGTGTGTGTGTATATATATATATGTATATACACATACATATATATATATAAAATTATGTATTTATATCTCTCCTAGACCTTGAAAGTGCCTAGTGATTCTTTATGCTCAAGTGAAGACAATAAAGGGCTTTGAGACTCTGCTTCTTCTGAGAGCTGAGCACACATCCTCACAGCCTCCAGAAGTGAGGACTCTTTCTGCCAGGTTCAGATAGTAACCCCAAAATCAGAAGCGCTAAGGTCATCAGTCACGTTTGGAGCTCTTGTCCCTATTGCTGGATCTCACCTAGAGCTGGTTTGTTAACTGCCTCCCATTCTGCCTTTTGTGACCAAGCACAGCTTTACAAACCGCCAGGGAGAGCTTGGCAAGGCAGGCAGTATCTCACAGCTCGGCAAAGGCATACAGGGGTCAGGACCTGTTCTCCCACTGGACACACTCACACCCACACGGGCACACACGCGCACAGAGCTATTCACATCCTCTGTTGTGACACTGGGATGGAGAGGGAAAGGATAGACTCCCAGGCACTCCCCAGTGTAGGCAAGATTAAACACAAACAGCCAAGCTCTGCAATGTGTGTGCTGTAGCTGCATGCACCTGTCACGGCTCAAAAAGGGTCAGAAATTAGGGGTTAGGTTGTATCCCTTTGGGCTCTTCTTTCCCTCTGCCCTCTCTCTTCGAGGTATCGACAGAGCACTATACAAGTGGGCGTTTTGATTTTCATAAACATGGCTTTTCTGTTCTTCTTCTGCATTCCCCCCCATCATCCCCATGGCCTCAGTTGCTCACATCAGGACCTGGTCTCGAGTCTCTGGTAGGCGCAAAGCTAGCAGGCCACCTCCGACCAGAGCAGAGGAAGCCAGAAGGATGGGAACCACCTTGGTTATCCCAACAAAGGAGGCAAAGATTGAGTTCCCCAGGATGGCACCAAACTTGCAAAGCCCATTGAGGATGCCAAAGGCTGTTGCCCTGTGGGGAAGAAAAGCAGAAAGCAATGGTTAGGAATGTGGTTCTCAGCATAACTACAGGCGATCTCGGTGAGTTATTTTGTAAGTGCTCTTATGTTGCCCAGGCTATGCACCTGACAAACAAAGCCAGCTAGAGTAACTAAATATATCTGGTTTTCATGTCCGTATGAATGAAAATGTATGTGTGTACTTGTTTCTCCTTTTTATCTCAACTTCTCCCTGGTCTTTGAGTTGCCCGTTACGGCAGCTTTTGTCCTCCACAAAGAAAGCAGGACACAACCTGCTCTAGAACTTGTAAAAGACCTTCTGAGCACTGCTTGGAGTGTGTTGTCATCAGAGAAACTACCTGGGGACTCTTCCAAATCTTGCTTCACCCAGCAGCTGAAAGCATGCTGCTTCCTGGCTCTCCCCAACAGCCTGAAAAATGCAGAAAAGGTGCCTAATGACATTGCCAAAAAGGATCTTATCTCCAGCACATGCTCCTAGAAATTTCTGCGCTGCCTCATCTCCCAAATCATTCTCCGCATATGGTTGTCTCCAGGTTGCGGAGAGGAAGGCTGTCACAGTGATGAGCTATGACAAGAAGCTGGAGGGTACAGCCTGAAGGGCCAGACCTCCATGCAGATTTGTGGAAATTAAATGACTCTGCATATTTTATCTGCCCATAATTTACATATGCCCACACAAATTCCAGAATACAAGCAACCGTGCATTCAGAGTTATGCTTGCAAATGTCAGTGCTGATCAAGTACAGCTACGGCACTACCTAGCCCTTAAGGGTTTGTTAAAATAAAAAAAAATACACCTCCTGCATCTACATGTGTCTAGAGTGAGTATTGTCTCTTTCTGCTAGGGAGTGAAAGGCCAAAGTCAGAGGGTAAGGACTGAAAAGGAGACAAAGGTCTGAGCACCTTTTGTTGGTGGGATAGAGCTCAACGGTGATCACATCCAGGGCATTCCAGGCGGCAATGCTGGCCCCACAGAACAGGCACTGCCAGCCGATCATTGCCGACTCGCTGTCGCCAAAAAAGAGAAAGAAGCAGCACACTGCAGAGATCAGCATTGAGCCACCTACGGGAGGGAGCCAAGAAAAACACGTTGGCATCAGTTTCCCCAGTTCATGGCCAGTCAACCTCACCATTGATAAAGATGGCCTTCAAGTTTCACCCCCAAAACGAACAAAATCCTCCAAAAACCCAAAATACCTTTATGCTTCCTATTTGTCTTTCTCTGATGTTGGAAACCAGCCTGAAAATGTTCTTGATCCCTCTGACCATCTAATCTTGCTGATATTCCTGCTATATTGAGACTCTGAAGACAGGCTTTTCCAGGCAGGTTTCCAGCATCTCAGACTTCCAGATGGACCCAGGAAGAGCAGAGACAAGTAAACGTGAAAGTCAGTGAGGAGCAAGAATCGTTGTGAAGGCTTTTCAACTTGAGTTTTGAGTGAAGAATTGCAATTCATATCATATTCAAATCACTTGACACATTTCTAGTCTCAATTAGGATAATTTACAGTCAATTGTATAAAGCACTTGAGGTCTCTTTTAATTATAGCATCATTAGATTTCATGGCACATTTGCACAGGAGCCATAATTTTATGAATACCATTGAGGGAGAAAGTGAGAGCATTCATGCTCAGTTAGCCACAGTTCAGACTCAGAAATATTACTGTCTACATCTTCCCTAGCTAGGAATTTTCACCTGAAAGATGCAATTTTTGCAAAATCAAAATATCACTGGAATATTTCACTGGAAAATTCTGTTGTTGCTGAGGTATTTCCATTTACTATCAGGAAACCAAAGAATTTTTTTGGCTCGTTTGTTTGTTTTTGAGTTAATTTGACACAGAACAAAATAATTTGAGTGTTAAACTGGAACCAAAGAAGTGCTTCATTTTGGATGTTATGCCACTGTGGTGCACAGCTAATGGAAAGTTGCCATCCAGGACTCCATATCCTCTTCTGCTCCATACTATCTGGCCAAACTACATCCCCCGCTGTGCCCTACGGAAATTCCCTCTCCTTAAGAGGTACAAATGAGGATCACAGGAGGTACGCCAGGAGATCTGACATTTGACACAGGAGAGGGTTTAATGGAATGTGAGAAAGCTGAACTGAAGTCCCAGTGAACCACGTACCACAAAAGAGAAATTCAGTTTTTGTGTTAAGCTGACCAGAAATAATGTGTTCAGCAGTCTAATACGGGTGGGATGCCAGAAGGCTCTGTGTCAATTAAGAATTCCACAGTGAAACGTTCCTTCATGTCTTTACCAATTTTTTTCCTGTACTTTTCATTCTGCAGAAGAAATAAGCATTTACGATCCCAGCTGTTATCTCAATTCCAGATGAAAATAGAGTTATGTTGACATGTTTGCTGGGTAGATAATCTGATTCTCATTCAGCTTTTTTTTTTCCCCCCCACAGACCCTCTATTTTTCCTGTGTCTTTTGCAAATTCATTACATGAACCCTAATTTTTTTCATTGCAGTAGATGTTCCTGACACACATGTGAGATCACCTTGCTTGCCTTTTTACCTATCTAACAGTGAGGTCACCAGATTAAGCTAATTAAGCTCTTAGAAGAGAGACACAGGTGAGCTCAAGAGAGTGATTCAGTCTTTACACCTCAGTCCCATCCCTCATTTTACCAAACTCACTTGTCTGTCCCACAAGGCATGATCCGCCTTTTGCCTAGAGAGCAAGATTTGAACCTTGGAAGAAACAACGCCAGAAAGGCCCAAAGTAATTGTGAAGTTTATGAGGTGATAACTTAGTTCCATAAGACTAAAGGGCGGCACCCTTTCTAATCCATAATGCAGTCAGTTAATCTACCATACAGTCTCTCAAACCGTTTGTATTTGATCTGAAAATCAGAAACCTAAGAGAAAGAATTCCTAGGCTGCCAAACAGCCACAGCAAATAATCTTCATGAATATTCATTGCTACAAGCAGTCTCTCGTTTATTTGTACAGAATGCCATGGACATCAGCATTAACTCAGCAGCACCAAAAGGTTCCATGTCAGCTCAGACCCTGTTGTGCTGAGCACTGGATAAACACACAGGCTTTGACACGAAAGTCAAAATAACGGAAAAAAGCAATATGACACAGATGCGTAGAAAAGGCAGGTGAGGGGAGCAGATAACTTGCCCAGCACCACAGAGTAGATCACTTGCAGAAACAGGAATAGAATCAAATTGCTCTCAGTCGCTGACTGATGCCTCGCTCTCGAGACTTTTCACCTTTCTGTTCCTTTTGATGTAGGAATGACTCATCCCCACCTGAGCCTGCTCTGCTTGTGTTCATACATGTAGGTGCAGAGACACCTTCATACTGACCTTGACTCTTTGCTCACACCCACAGCTCGTGCCACGTGCTCGTTATCCCCACTCACCAATCATCTTTATCCTCCCTATTTTGTCCATGAGTAACGCAGAGATGATGTTGCCTGGCAGCACGGACAGACTGCCCAGGAAGCTGACTAGATAGATCAGGAAGTCGTTGTCCTCCTCGAAGTCCAGGTGACAGCCCTCCTTCTGCTTCAGGAAAGTGCTGTTTATGAGCCTGCAGTTGATGAATTTGTGTTCGTAGAGATCTGCCAGGGAAAAAGGCAAAGACTTGATCCCGCTTGACTGATATCCCTTCACACAGCAGCAACAGGAGTCATGATCAAAACTGAATCGAAATCTGAGAGGTGGTCTCCACCAAACGGAAATGATCATTTCTAATTGGTATTTAAGTGGCAAATTACAGCTGCATGCTATGCATCTGGTGGACGTAAGCTCATGCACTTCCTTATATTTGTGGAATCGCCTGGACGAGTGTCCTATACCACAAGGACCGGGGCAATGCAGGCTGTCACTGTCACGATATTATAGCTTGTCCTCTATCAGAGGAGACAAGCTTTTGAAGGATAAATTAATGAATATTTTATTGCTTAGGATCGACAATAAGAAGTTGGATATGAACTAAAGAGAGAACCGAAAATTGTATTTTAGGCCAAATTTGTTGAACTGAGAGCTGGTAAACTGTTTTGCCACTACTTTAGCCTGCCAAGGTCTGAGAGCAGATTTCTGCATTTTCCCTGCAGTAGCAAATAACACCAGAAGCCATGTGGTTAAAAACACTGACAGAGCAGCTTGAAACGTCCTTTCCAATGCATTGTTGGAAACACAGAATTAAGCAAGAATCAGAACCTAAACCATAAATGAGAACAGCCTCAACCTGTGGAGCAATGCTAGTGGCAGCAAGAATTTTTTTGACAGGCTTATGCCTACATGGACAGCTAAGCTCAGTGTGCAGGAAAAGAAAAATGTCTAGCCAAGCTAGACGCCAAAAGCACTATATTTTTTTTCCAACTTTCTTGCAGAAACCAAATGGTCATAAAGCTAACACAACGTCTGGTCCCTTAGGCCATCTTCACCATCTTTCTTCTGTCATCACTGTGATTACCCATCACACATACAGACACACAGACCTCTATCATCCTTTTTCCCAGCATCTGATACAATACTTCCTAATTATAGAGACTAGACCATATTAGGAATGCCTTTACCTGTGTTATAAAAGACCGTGGACGCAATGGTGCAGTTTTCGAAGAAGGTCTCACTGGATGTCACATCTTCAAAATAACATTCCTCAAACAATGAATCCTCAAATCTCACTTCCTTGAATTTCATGCCAATAAATCTGTGGGGCAGGAAACAGCGTTTCGTTCTGTGCTTTGAGGCATTTCCTTTATTAAACAGTGTGTAATGACTGTTTCAGGAGACACAGCAGTAATGACAATTTCTGAGGTCATTTACAGAAAATGTGGTGCTTGAATGCATAGCTCTATTCTCCCTGCAAATTCCTACCCAATGCTTATACGTTTTGTAGTTTATTAGGGGAGATGAATTTGAACAATATTTTTAAGAGGTGTGGAGCTTTTACAATTTCTGGCAGCTTTTCCATTCCTCAAAATAGTCACATCTATGAAAATTTGTTGCTGAGGCAGAGCGGACACAAATCCCCTCACTTTCAGTACAAATCCATCTGAAGAAAACATCCTTTTGCTCAGTACATGACATTCTCTTTTTGGGCTGACATTGCTGCCTCCCATATCCTTCCCCTTCCTTAAGCATAAATAAAAATAGCCATTATCAGATGCCTATTGAGCCATTTGGTGAAAAACCTCTGATAGTTGTTCAAACTAAAAGTGATTATTGAACCAAAAATGCGTGCTGATTTCTAGAGGGAGCAGGGAGATTATCTGTGTACCAGTTGTACTCGTCTCTGTTCAAGGACTGCATGTAATGTAAAGAAAATAAATTACACCGGGAATAGTCATTGGTGTCGGGTGATTGATTTCTCCTCTGATGGGAAGCTTGACATTTCTGCCCTACCTGCCCGATGGATGACCCAATATTGATTTACCAGTGAGATTTTGTAGGGACACTGGGAAGATGCATTGGTTAATGCACAGGCATGTTTCAAAGATATGAAGCACTATTAAGTGCATTTGTTATTGCTCAAGCTAAGGAGGCCACAACTGTCACCAGGTAAAAAGGGTTCTAACATATACCCAGAAATTTAATTGAACTGAGCATTTTTAAAAGTCCAGTGTGATGGATATTTGCACTATTAAATGAACATTAACTTCTAAAAGATTTTATTAATGCTCAAAATAGAACATGAAGACTACTCAGGTCTTTTGTCCGTATAGAATGTTTCTCAGGTTACAGCAAAACTTAAGCTGATCTACATTTGCTCAGTAGTAGCTTGTGATGTATTTACTCTTAAAGGCTGTTAAAGCCCTTTTAATTTTCTTTCTTAACATCCATCTTTAAGGGAGTCACATAGCAATGGCCTGGTGTTCAATGGTGTTTTAATTCACAATCAAGAGCTGGAGGGAAAATGGAGCTATAAATCATAATGAGGTATGCTCTAGGCATTACTAGTATATAACTTGATCAGAATTTGAGTTATTGGATTGGAGAGGATCAATGAGGGAGTATAGTGATTTACAGGACAGTTTTAGGTCTCCATCCTGCTTGGTGCTGACCATCATCTATTCTCAATGAAGTTATCTTCCAGATATCTTCCAGAAGTATCTTCCAGATGGAAGATAAGGGTCTCTGGTCCCTAAATCTGACCATCATTCACATTTCATCTTGCTTTGTTTGACTGCTCCGTAGGCAGGGAAGTAGCAGTTATGGGCCCAGGTTCGGACCATCAAGGACAGCTCCTTACTGCAGTGAAGGTCTCTGGCAAGATATGGGAGCACATGCCAGGGGGACCTTCACCAATCTCCGCCAGATATACATCAAGGAAATGTAGACAAGCAGTTTCTAAGGTAAAAGGAACAGCCCAGATAGGCAATGGGGTATGGCTTCAACTGTGAAGAGCAAAACAATGGGTATATTGTGTAACACCGGTACCTCCAGTGGTACCTCTCCATACAGCACAAGGGAGCTTGAGTAACACCGTGTCTAGTCTATCTGGAGCTATGGGATTGCCGTGGAGTTTACATAGGGGTAAATTTCCATCCATTACCTTGGGCTTTAGAAGAGTACAAATGGCCTCTACAAATCACTAGGATTTCTACTGTGTGGCACTCAGAGTGATTGAGGTGCAGGCTGGTTACAGAAGAAAATAACCAGATCCAGTCCAAAGAGGATAAAGGGAGGAAAACGGTGATCTGCTAGAGTAACTTCATTTACTTCAAAGCACTAAAAGAGAGAGTGAAACTGTGGGGAGAGGCAGACTTAATGAGGGAGAATCACACCAGTACAGCTGAGGGTCTTGACACAACTCACATCGAGGGGCTGCGGGATGGACACCCGGGTAAGTCATATCAAGGACTTTAAGGAAATATAGGTTTTTTTTTTTTTTTTCAAAAAGCAGAGAAAGAAATAGATTTGTTACTGGAGATGGTCTCTGCTGCCCAAAACCAGTAGATGTCAGTGTGTCCTAAGGAAAGAGAAGTCACGCTGCATCTAGAGATGCCCAGCTTATCCAGGCATGTGCCCATTCCCTGCTCACTGCTCTCAGCAAGCAGCTGCCAACGGAGTCTACTGAGAGTAGGACTCTGGAAAACTTCTCAAATGCATTTCCTTGTCTGGAGACGCAGGTGGCTGAGGCAGAGTGTGTGAAAAGCAGGATAAAAAGAATATTTGGTTTGTGAAAAACTGCTGTCGGGATTTGAGTTATAGACTTTGCACCCAAAAGAACAACCGAAATCCTCAGTTTTGTGGAAAAGGAAGGAAAGGAGTTTTCTAGAAATATATTTTAGTTCCTTTGAAACCAGAGTTCCTTATCCACATGTGCCATCTCCCCTCCAGTACTAATTAAACCAAGTTCTAGTCACTTACTTATCGTTTTTATATTCCCCATTTCTGTGGATCTGGTTTTCCAGGGTGAAATTAAAGGTGAAGTGTGACACTTCTTCCTCATCAAAGATTTTCACACGGGATTCGTACGCCTCTTCTTGGAGATATCGAATCATGTCAGGGAACCAGACAATAAGGCCATAGTAACTGCAGCCAGATGGGAAAAACATGTTAGGCATAAAAGATCCTGTGCAAATGTCACAGTGCTTTTCCCAAGATCTATTTCATATTCTGTAAACCTGTCAGCTTCCTAATGTGAATGCATTTCTGATGCAAGTCCTTGCTCAGCTCTGACACTGGGCTAAGCAATGTGGGTCTCTAGTATAAGCTCCTGCATTATATAGCATAAACACCTAGCTGCTCTCAGAAGCACATTAATCCATTTCAGTTCACCTAAAGAAGGACAACTAATTTAATTTTCACTGACATTGGATCCTGGGTTGAGAAATATAGCAATGTGCTAAACTTGCTCCCCAACAGTTATGCAGAGCAGCAAGAAATATGGGAGCTCCTCTTTGATTGCAGGTTTCTGCAAGCGTGAGGTCATAGTGACATTTAGACTGTTGGACAGCTGAGACACAGGTAGATTTTTGGGGACACAAGACATGTGGACAGCATCAAATGAAAGATCTAGAGCTGAGAAACTCTATAAACTAGTATACACTAGTAACCACCTCTCAAGTCCTGGTCTGTTCAGAGCACCTTGTGTTTTCTTATAAGCAATCGGATCACTCAATATTTCATAGGAGAGCATGGCTAAGTACGCAAAGACTCTAAAATAAGAGCAGCATTCATTTTGTAACTATTTATTTAGAAGTGATTATTCAAACTCTGAGGGCCCTCAGATAACTCTGGTTTCTTGAAAAGACTGGAGAAGTACCTTACCTTAAGGCCATTGTAAACCAAACCACAGCCAGAATCAATGTGTTCATCCTGTACTGGGCTGTTAAACAATATAGCACATTGTCCCAGACCTACAAATACGTAAGAAGAAGTTAGTTGCAAGGAAGTCCTAGCAGAGATTTGAGAGATTAATTTCTGAGTGCCTCATAAATTTAATGTTTGCACTAAAAAGGGCTCATTTGGGGAAGGTCAGATATGTGGCTTAGATTCAATGTTTGCTCAAAATTATATTTATCGAGGTAGATTTCATGGCTTACAGAAAGATCATGTATTCCGCTTATGTCCCAGGGTACTTGATCTGAACCATCTGTCGTGAGCTGGAACGCATGACTAGAATAGTGTGTCTCAGTGATGGCCCAGGATAATGCAGTGTCTCCCTCAGCTTATGTCAATTAGTTGTGGATATGAGCCTGTTCTCAGACCTTCTGACCATTCCATCTTTTCATACATATGCATGATCTGCTTTCAAACTGAGCTATAAGCTAACTGGAGAGCAAAAAAACAAACATAATTGACACTTTAAGCCAGGTAGGATGAACTCAAGTGTGACTGAAGGCAAGAACACCAGAAGGGAGATGGAGATCAGCTCTTCTTGACCTACTGCAGGAAGGATTGCCTGGAACGAGAGGTGACAGAACTTCTCATGCTCTTAACGTTACCATATACACATGGTAAGAGCACCTACATTGCTAATAACTAAGAGAGATTGTCCTTTACTTTAAGTTTGTCCTCCCAGACTAGAAGCATCTAGAAAGTTCTACAAAGTTCTGCATGTGCACAGGTAAACCACATAGACTGTGGGGAATTTTAAATTAAGTGAAGAGATAATATAACAGCGCTAGAAACTCACCCTTAGGAAGAGCAAGGAGCAAGCACTCTTACGAATCCACTAGGGGTGGTAAAGTCACTTAGGCTTGGGTGAGAAGGAATCAATATTAATCCATTTAGAAGGAGAGTCAAGTTCTCGGGGCTCTATCTCATCCTGGAAGCTCAGCCATTAGTGCAGCGTGACTACCATGGTGCTCATATGGTCATTTTGGGACCTGGCTGGCACTGTGGCAGCCTACATGTACACGCATATGTATAGTAAGTGCAGTCAGATTACACGCCTTGGCAAACACTAGCAGCCTTTTTGAGCAAAGGTCAGGATTTCAGAATGCAATGGCCTGAAGCTATGGAGCACTGGACTCCAAAGTGCAAAAGCCCGGCTGCGATGGTTTTTGTTCTCACCTGTTTGAAAGTGGTGGTGAATCTGACCAGCCACCGCTTATACCAGGTCCCTGTTGAGCTCTGGATTTCGATAAACTCATCTACTTGCTTTGGAGTTTTGATATAGGACACCTAAAAAGAAAAGAAAGAAAAAAAATGAACCAAATTTTCTAGGGCTGATATTGGGTGGATTTTACATTTCACTGTCTTCTCAGCAATGTTTGCCACCAGGAGTTCCTTACTATCTTTTCCTTGAATATTATCATTAGAAAGTGATTTAATTGATCTTATTATACTGAGAGATTTTATCATAGAAAGAAGTCCTCCTTCCTGCCTTCCCTCCTGCTTCCTTCCTTCCTCTCACTCTCTCTCTCCTTTCCTGAAATATTTCTGATGCATCACGTCCACTTCAATCTTTCATTTATTGGTTTATTGGTTTATGCCTGTGCGCTAGGTGATTTCTGTAGCCCTTAGATTCCCCATCAGAGATCAGGACTGGGCAAGTACTGTAAAAAGTATCTGCACGATTAGCATATGGTATCTACATCAAACTATGCCCTCAGGATCTTTCTTCAAATACAACTGGAAGGAATATTCCCCAGTTCGGCACATTTTAAATACCACTGACAGAACTGCTATGACAAATGAATGTGTAGATGGAAATCTTTGCATCTGAAAATGGATCCAACCACAACGTGAAATCTCACCATACAATCAGTTTGTTCCATCAAGGCAGACTGAATTTTTTGTATTATACACCTTAACTGAACTGCTCCTGAAGTCTCAGAATGAATCCCAGCAAAAATTTACTGAGTAACTTTGAATAAAGGACATGTTCAAGGAAAGCACGATCTGTTTGTAAACATGAAAATGAGGTGAAAATTTACTGACTAAATTACTAAGTAGGAATGATTCGCTTGGCTTGGCTGTACTGTCGCTGTGTTCTTTTTGCTGGCACTGTTTAAATGTCAGATCTGGGAACTGTCCCTGTAACAGCTGACTCATGACAAACTGGCAACTTCTGGCCTATCAGAAAAACACAAAATCTGACAGTTTGTACTACAGCAGCCGAACTGAACGTCCACCCGTGCCAACGGATGTCAGTAAATCCTGATTCAACAGACACTCCACATCTCGAGGTGCGATATTTAAGATCAGTGCATCACATAGCATTCGTGTCTCTGTTGGCTGGAGTAATAAGCACTAATGGGTGCTCTACAGCCTCTCCAGATTTCTGTAGTCAGCGCAGATCCTCATAGTGTTCTACTTGGAGACGCACGTTCTTGAGTCTCATAGGTGAATGCAGACTGACTCCTAAAAGCCTCGGGACACCCCTTGCATTAGAAGCAGGAACAGCACCATGCAGGCATGATAGCACCTGTTCCCAGGCAGCCCGCAGCCTGGCCCCTGAAAGGCATCTGAAAAGCCTGCTCATGTTCGTGAGCAGAGTACGCGCAGCTCAGCTCCATGTGCACGTTCCCCACGCATGTACAGCCAACGTGCCACAGCACACCTTGTAATCTCCCCACAGCCCCACACAGCAGAGGAGTGCAGCAGGTTGGGTCCGTCAAGGACACACCAGGCTCGACACCATACCCAGTCCGGCACTATAGAAAACCCCATTAGGGATTTCAGAGAGATGCTGTTCTTGCTCACCTTTGTCATCAAGGTTTACATTAGTTGAATGGTCTGTAGCCTAGAAACAGCATATACTCATTAAATGCCTATCTGGATCTTCACACAGTTGTCATCTACATAAATTAATCTTTTATATTCTTGAAGGATCATTCCTAATGGACCCTATCTCATGATAAGTCCTCTGAATAGGGAAACTTGCTCTCTTCTTTGCCTTAAAAGACATGTTTTGCTCACAAATATATCTCTCTTTCTCCCTTCTCCGCATCCTTCAAGAGCATGTGTCCTCTCATCTTTAAAAGCATAAATCAAGAATTATTCCCTGTCTGGCTCACTGACAGTTTACAACTGAATTACAGTAATTTGCAGCTAACCCCAGCATACGCCTTTTACCTGATTTTACTATTAATCAAGCCTCCTGGTGTGAGCTTTTTCACAACAAGCAGCGGACTAGTGAGTAATCACCACTCGTTCACTTTCCCTTGGAAAGATTAAAGATTAGGTAGGAGGCAAATAGAGTTTGGGAAGCTCATTAGGGGGTACATAAAGTTTAATCAGAGTTTGATTAGAAGCCTGAATGGAGAAAGGAGTGACTGAGATCTCCCACATACTCTCTCCCGTTTGTTTTAAGTCTCCTAGAGCAGACCAATTAAGTGCACGTGTAATTAGAAAGCCACTGATCTGCATGCTATAGTTTAACACCAGGAAAGAAGAGTACTCACTGCAACTGAGCAGGACTGACTAACTTTCGGAAAAAACAAGCTGGTATCTGACTGTAAATGCCCAACACATCATCCCACAGTCCCTTTTCTGATTGCTAGGGGAGGTCACATTGTGAACCTCTGGAAGGAGGGATAATATTGGTGCTGTGCTGCAGCAGGGAAGGTAAGTCCAGCTTTTCGTTTTACCTGCCAATGACTGCTAACAACTCACCGTAAACACCCTCTCCGGCTCGCCCTTGGCCCGCATGTTGGTGTCATGAACTTGCTTAAGGATCATCCAGGCTTCATCGTGTTTACCTATCTGGAAACCCCAAGGAAAGGGAGAATAAATGTTGCTGTTCCCAGCTCTGCAGTTTATCAAAGCATATAGAGAAACGAGTACTAGAGGCCCAATATAGTGGAGATGCACACACGTAGCACTGGCTGTGTTAAGGGCAAACTGCTGAGAGCAGACGTTGTATTCACAGGGAATGCAGTGTTTCTGTGGCTGGAGAAAGGCATTACCCTAAAACTGTTTGGGGCAGGAGAGGAATCAGGGATGAAGTGTTATGTCCAGACAAGAGTAGAGGAAATGTTTCAGAAGACCTGAGCTCTATTTCCATCTCTGCTAAGGACTTGCAGGGTTAACAAGAGCTAGGTGTTGCTGCAGTGACAGCATCTGTGAAATGGAAATAAATAACACTTGCTTAAGAGCTCTGAGGTTTATGTATTTCACCCAGCTCATCTGCTTGCTCTTCACTCTTCTTCCAAGATTCACTAGTTACAATCCCAAACTCTGAGAGAGATGTTTTCAAAATGTTGAATTTAGAAAATCCCCAGCCTTTGCCGCCTTCTTCCTGTGCAGCATTCAGCAGTGAAACACTATCCATTTTTGATTAACCCCATAGTCTGTAGTCTTTAGGTTTTAAGCGATCCACAGAGTTAGTATATGCAAGCGTGAAGGAGTGCTTTTGCTCAGAATTTGTGTTATGTGTTTTTGATGGGACAACAACAGACAGATGGGGACACATTAGGGACCAGTTATCCTCTACTACAATGTTCAGATGAATCATCTTACCTCCAGCAAAAACCGTGGGCTTTCGGGCATGAATTTCAGTGCCACCAGAGAAGCGATACAGGGCAGAGAGCAGACAAGCACAAAGACTCTCCAGCTGTGGAAGTGGTACTTGGTTCCCATACTAAAACCCCAGCCTGAAAACATCAAGAGACAAAAGTAAAAATACTGATGAGGCATTCTGATTTTGCTCTCTAAAGCAGCTCTGAACTGGACTGTGCAGCTCTGCACAATATGGGGACAGGCTGAAAGTTTGCTGTACTTAGTAATGACCTCTTTCAAAGGCTAAGTAGTATGTTCAATAGATAATGGTATGTGAGTTCATGTTCCTTACGGAAAACTGAATGCATTCTTGCTCAGACCTCTCTTTTTAAAAACTTCTTTCATCTTTAGGTTTAGAAATCATCTAGAAATAAGAATAGCTAATTGCAGCTCTAGGCAAGCAAGGCTGGGAACGGGTATAGGATCCAGGGCCATAATTCATTGCTTCTTGCTGATGTTACAAAGAGTTTACAATGGTTAAATCTTCTCTGATCTGAAAAGCATGTTAGAAACAGCTCCTTCAAGACTCATAACTCACACATGTATTTTCTTTTCTGTGGAAGTGAGCTAGGAAAGTAAGATTATTTTTTCCAGATATATGAAATATGAGCTGGGATTCAAACTCAGAAGAATCAAGATCCTACTGTTGCATTTGGGCTCCCCTGTCTCCTGCCTGCTCCTTGCTGCCCCACAAGGTCAAGTAGCCCCTGCCACGTAGCAGCAAGTACAGCATCATTCCTGTGCTGCTCCTCTAGGGACCTGCACCAGTGCAAACACTTCCTTAAAACATCAAAAGGCATTTGCAATCACATACCAAATGCAAACTTGAATAAAAACATTTTTTCTCAGTTTACTTTTCCTAGACTCAAATCTCTCAATTTTTTTTCTACAGACATTTCCATTTGCATAACAAAGAAACAAAAAGAAAAAATGTTTTTTGCAGAAGTCTTATTTCCTCCAGTCATGGTGCTGCACTCCTTTCACCAAGTTCCAAAAGAGTAGGGAATCTTGGGAAATAAGAAGAAAAGTTACAGCACACAAAATGTAAAAACACAAGTTACGTAATATCAAAAGCCATCTAGAAAATAAAAGTAATGTAAATACATAAAGGTAATGTAAATATTATCTTTTAAGGGCTTTTTAAAGCAAATGCATTTGCAGCTAATGAAAGATTGTTTCAACCTGGCATCACTAGGCTGCAAGTTTATATATTTGTTTCAACAATCTGTGTCTTCTTGATCAAAACCATGAACATTTCTTCATACTGAATATATTTTAAGCACATTAAAACAGAGATCATAGATAGATAGATAGATGGATATTTGTGCTTTCCTTCAAGGTCTTTGTGGCCTGCCCTACTTTCCTCAAACAGGATTTTACAAACAGCTGGTGCCAGTGGATACTGAGGGAATTAATCTTTCCCAGTAGATATTTGCTGTCTGATGTTTTCTTAGGAATATGAACAAGAGTTACCAGGAAGACCGCGTGACATGCAGATTTTTGTTCCTCAGGGCACACATATTTCAGAGTCCTCATGTCTACTGTTTCTCTACCACTTCCAGCGCTGCATAGGGAACCCATTCCACTTCTAAACCAGATTAGGTCAAATCAGACATGGCCCCAGCACATTGCGTGCCCGAGAGACACATCTCCAAAAACATAACCCAAAGAACATTGGCATCTGGCTCAGGGAAAGCATGTGTGGTGTCCTCCCTTCTAATATTCTTAGCACCCAGTAATTCCCTCATTAAAGTTATTTATTTTTCATTACTGGCCCAACTTTACAATCAACATCAACATGAGCTTTGCAATCAGCATCAACATAATCTCAATTCAGTTTCCCCTCTGAATTCACTGGCATTTAGATTAAGGGGTCAGGCTCTGACAGTACAACTCCAAATGATGTATTTGAAACTTCTGATACAAAGCAGCCCTCCTGCCACAGAGCCAGTCCTATCTGCAGCCTTAGTATCAATCAATCAATCAATCAGTCAATCAACTTATCAGACTTCTATTTTTCATTGATTTAGCTTTTATGACCTTGACAATTTTGCCAGGTGAGTCTCGAAGGAACTACGAATTCTGCTGTATAACTGTTCTGGTGAAAAAGACAGTCCTCCACTGTAAGATAGAATTTTTAAAATGCCACAATTGCAGGGAAAAGTTTGGTGTTGATAAAAGGCCAGCTGTGGTCTTAATTCCTGAAGATGTTAAAGTGTCAAATTACAATACTATTATATTGGGAACAAATGTCTAACTACACCTCAAGCCCTATGCCTTTCAGGTATCTATTATTTTCAGTGCTGTTTGTGCTAGGCTGTGTGAGGACTAATGTTACGCGCGTGGGCTTGAGGTAGCGTAGTGACGCATAAATATGCCACTGCCAAAAGCTGAAAGTACAAAGCAATTACCGTAATGTGGAATGATGCTCCAAGCCATCGCTGAAGCAAAAATGCCACCGATCATCCAGAACATGCACAGCCAGCTCAGGTGTTCCCCCCTCTTCTCCCGAGACAAGAATTCAGAGAAATAGGCAAACACAATGGGGAGTGATCCCCCAATACTGAGGAGGAAAAATAACACATGAGAAGAATAAAAGTCTTTGCACGAATGTCTTATGATTGCTTATATTAAAAGGGACAGTCACACTCATAGACTCACTGCATACATGGAGGAAAAGTTCAAATCTCTCTTTGGCTGGACTGGTCTTAGATATCAGAGATAAGCAAGAACCTTGTTATGCTCTGCAAGCTGATTTTATTACACAGTTTATAAAAAGGTAGTGTAGTGCCCTGCTTTTCACATAGATATCTCCTCTGCTTTTCTTTGGCAAGTTCTCATTTTAGGGAGGCTAAAACCAGCTAGGCAATAGGAATAGCAGGGGCTCATTGGAGGCCCTGGCAGTCGGGCAAAAAAGTTAGGTAGACATTTATCAATCTGCCTGACTTTCATTCACTATTTGGGCAGTACAAGAAAAACATCAATGACCAAACTTTCTTACTGTTAATGCTTCTATTGACATGACCAAGGTACCTCAGCCACACTAGGTAAACAGCTGGGCTGTCCCAGCTCAGTGGCTGAGGTGCATCTCCACAGCAGTCCAGCCAGTCCTTCCGTTTCACGCCTCTCAAACCCAACCACTGCACAGTTCCAGCCAAGCAGTGACAGGACCCTCATGAGAGATGGGAGCCCATAGCTGATAGACTAGCCAGAGTTACCCACCCGAGGCCAGAGATAAGGCGGCAGAAGAGAAAGAATCCGTATCCCTGGACGAAGGAGGAAAGGAACGCGAAGGCAGCATTGATTGCAAGTGATATGATGAGGCATTTCTTCCTTCCCAGTTTATCAGCTAGGCCACCCAACACAACAGCTCCCACCATCATTCCTAGGTAGACTATCAAGCCTAGGAGAGAGAGAGAGAGACAGTGAATTCGATAGCAGCCACTCTCCCATTTGCCAAGTGGAAATAGTTTGCTACCCCATACACAGTCAACATCAGCACTGTTCCCCCAAATTACAGCCAACTGCTGCCCAAGAACTTCCTAACAGAGGAAAATGGAGACGGAGATACCACTGAGGGCCTGTCTGTACCTCACACACATCTTAGCCTTTTCAGTGAAAAGTCTATTTTGTTATGAATCAGCATGTAGAATGTAGAAATGGGTATGACTTGTCTGGGCTCTGTATGCTTCTTACAACTTCTTGTTTTCCCAAAAGCTATGAAGTAAAAGTATTTCAAAAACAGTGCATGAATTTAAAGAGAGCTACTTTCAGGTATAGACAAAAAGCTCTTTGCGAGTGCCCTCCGGAGACACTGTTACTGCCCAAACAATCATTAATATGCCTTAATAAACAAAATAGGAGCTGTTCTAAAATCTAAAACTCTAGTAACTGGCTATTCATTCCTTCTAGGTTTCGCACGTTGGGAATCAGCATAGCCTGTTCTGAACACAAGGCAGATGCCAGGAGTTTCTACATGAAGCCTTAAAAGGTGCCTCCACGCTGCACACTACACACAGAAGTAGAAATACTTCTGCTGACCCGTGATGAGCCATCTCAAGCGCCAGAAACTCTCTGTCCACTGGTAGAACCTAGTTTCCCCATCTGCCCTTTAGCTTGGATTGCTACCTACTGTATTGCACTGTGCAGTATAGACATACCCTCATTTTACCAGAGCCATGTCTTTCCCTCCCCAGCCTCACTGCTCACATATCCCCTGCACGTAAGCAATGGCCAGCCATAAGCAGCTTAGCATGCACGTGTCCCAGCTATGTGCTATCAGCTACAGAACATAAGTCTGATGTCTTAACTCCACTCACCCCCCGAGCACAATGGGACTGAGGATGTGTAGGGAGGAGGCTCTCCCTGGTTGCTGTTTACACGCAGAACACCATGAGACATGAAAGACTGCATGAATAAATCTCTTTGCAGGTTACCTATTTTACCCATGTTTCCTTTGGAGCAAACCAGCTCTTTCACTTTCCAGTTTTCATAGCATTACCTGAAAGGATCAGGCTATAAACTCAGTCTGACCTGTGTAGCACAGATACTTGCTCTGTTACTGAGCCAAGATCTGATATCTAACTAAAGGACAACTTATAGCAAGTAGTAAGGTCTTGATCTGAAAATTTAAGGAGAAGCGAAGATCCTCTGCTTATCTTGACAGTTTGCACTATAGATCAACCACCCTGACATTATTTTTAAAAAAGTTCTTATTTTTAACTTGACTTCATTAGATCTTTTACTATGGGGTCTTCAAAAGATAATTTCAGTGAATACTTTTAGTATTCAGTGAATACTTTTAGGCTGAATGCTTCTCTTCTCTGAGTACGCTCTACGCAGCTCACAACCCTGGCCAAAAAAGCAGGGCCATTGTCCTTGGCTATTCTACCAAGACTGCCACCAGGAGGACCACCTATTATATTGCCATTTCTCCTTTAGGGGTAGCAGTGCGAATAGTAGTAATTAATAACCTTCCCAGCTCCAGGAATTTTGTTTTTCACTTATTTTATTAACTTCCAAGATTTAGAGGCTTTAGAGACCAAGAAGAATATTCCCATGAAGATCCACAAACTTTGGTCCTTTTGCTGGCAAAATTCCTTTTGAAGCCTGCAGGAGTTATGAAAAGACAGCAAAAGCAGATACTAAGCTTTTGAAATATGAAAGCATACAGTGCCAACCGGTACTTGAGGGGCTGGAAAAATTGATGAGCTAGAGTGAAATGATTTGCACTGCTGTTAAGGGAAAACATCTGAGAATCGATTAATCGACCAGCAGGCAGCAAATGGATCAGGTCTTTGAAGAACAAACAACAAGGCTGTATTTGGCCTCTGGGCTTCAGATTTTTGCTTTAGGCTTATCAATAAGCAAATCTCTGTTCGTTCCTTTGAGACAGGAAAGATATAAGGATGGAAGGGATTAGGCAGGAGCACTTGCCTCCAAGACTCTCTGAATGAGCCCAGATGAAATAAGACCACAAAGAGACAAACTATCAGCAGGTCTGTTCTACTGAAGTTTTACTGATCTTCACCACATGAAGGACAAATCCCTTCACGCTTTATCCATGTGCAGTGTGTGGCTGGTACTGCCCCTGCCCTTGCACTGCAGGGCTGAAATACTTGGTGACCAGGTGACTTTCTTGCACGTCTTAACTGGCCCTGCTGGCCTGCTGACATGGGGGGCTTTGGGCAGCACATGCGAGTAGATTATTACTGCATTGGCAACTCCTTCACTAATGAGTTGGATAGGTCTCAAAGCTTTCTACTTTGAGGTAGGGCTCAAACAGTAAGAGAAATATCATTGTCACATTTCAGAAGAAATTGGTGGCAACCACCGTGTTTTCTGGGGAGCAAAGAAGTGCAAAAGGCTGTTCCCAGAGTACTTACTGTATTGTCTTAGACAGCATGGGCAGGAGAACTCCTACTGTGGGGATCCTGATTTTTTCACACGTTTTTGTAATATGTGAATGTGTAAACATATGGATCGGTCTGATGGCTGAAGGTCTGTTCTGTGCCATCCAGCAAAGCTAGCTAAGGACTAATGCATAGAATTATTTGGCAGCTGATTCTGCCTTTCTTTTGGGTTGCAAATGTCTGCGTTTGGTTTGAAAAGCATTACTAAATCAAAAGCTATGCAGCAGAAAGCTACTGCAAGATACTAGTCTCATGTTGACTAGAAGTGGAAATCTGCCCTTGTTCCATAAGCAGAGCTAAGGGATTACCTCTGTGAATTGTTCTGCTTCTTTTTCTATCCACACAATATCTACCAGAAAATCAGATTTTATGTATTAAAGGGAAAAGACCTGCTCAGATCTATTCACGCCTCTTAACTGTCTTTGTACCAAAACAGTGGCATAGGATTTTACCAGCACCCTGCATGATCCTATTGCCACAGTAAGCACTCAGCTGTGTACAATCAATATCAATGCTCATTCCTCATAAAGGTTTCAGATACTGATTTGCAGCAATCAGAGAAGAAAGTACACAGCTGGGAATCTGAGATCTCTTTTTCTGTTAACTTTGGCCTCCAATTCCTTCACTGGGGCGTGAATAACAAGGGAGAACTTAGAAAAAAGCATACTAATTCAAAATCTTAATGAAAAATAAATCTTAACGCAGTTCTTATGCTTAATGCTTTTACCTTGGCTCTTGAGCCATATCTAAGGGAGCAGCTCTGATCTCAGTCAGCAGACAGAAGTGATGATACAGCCTGTAACTATTCACTGGTATTTTGCAGACACCTCTTCTGAGGGTGCCCTACCAGCACAGGACAAATGGTTCACTGCACAGCTCAGCCAACAATGCCAAACTCAGATGAAAAATGAATGATAAGGTGGAGTTTGGGGTTTTTTTTTTGTCTGTTTGTTTGCTTGTTTCGCAGAGAAAATCCCTGGACGGCAGATGTTCATCCAAGGCCTCTTAATAACAGAAAGTGTCCTAGGTTAGGAGGAGGAGGAGGTGGAGGAGGTTGCTACTGTGTTCTAACCCGTTATTTATTATAACTGGGTACCTTTGCTGGCAGTAGGGCAGCTCACCGTCTGGCCAGGGATGACCCCAGCAGCCTCCCAGCTCAGAAGGAAGAACGGATGCTCCACTCAGGCAAACATATTGTGGATAACCCCTTTCGGTCCTGGCATACCTGACTTGGCCATTTCAGCTGCAGCAAGTGTTACACTCCCTTCTGTCAGCAAAGGCTTTTAATGATCATACTCAGGAATACCCACAGTGCCGAGAACTCATTTCTTGCACTGACATGCTAGTTTCCTTATTTTATTTAACCCGGAAGTTGAGTTTGATTTGGCCTTCACTGTAATACATCAGGACATGAGAGTGCGAGCTTCCCAGTATGCTTCATCTTGCAGAAGTTTCTGCACTGGCTCTACTCATCAGCTCAATAGCCTATGCTCTCCAGAGCTTAACACTTTCACCAAAGTGCAAGCAGAGTACTACGCCTAAAATACATAAAAATCACTGGTTGGACAAAGAGTTTGGAGAAGGAATAGTAAAACTTCTTGGCGCCTGATTCTGATTTCCAGTGCCCAGAGAAGGGCAGACAAAGCAAACACAGTTATCCCTATCTGGAGCACAAACAGAGAGATTTATTATTTAAAGACTGCAATGATGCATGAATCAGGAAGGAGAGGGCAGCAGTCACAGTAAGGCTAATAGATCCATCAAGGATCTTAGGCTGAAAAACAGTGATCTAGAGACCTCCATTCATTCTTAGAAAGGGAGGGTTTAGCAGCCTGAGAAACACTCAGATGTCTTCCTCTTTCTCTTGCTCTAAAGTTTTTTCCCAGTTGTATTCATTATCCTACTAAAGAGTCATACAACCCTAAGTACTAACTCAGGGTTCCTCTCGCTCTGCGTTGGAGCACGCTATCCTGTTGGGCAAAGAGGGTTCAGGGCTTGGCCTGGGAATTTGCGGCAGCCTGGCACTGTGTTTTAAACCAGCCATTGACAAGTGGCATGAAGCTGCTTTTATGGGCAAAGACCTGCAGATTCTGAGCTCGGGAGCCCAAACTCAAGGTTAGAATGCCTCATGAATGCCTGCCTTGGCATGTATTCATCAATAGCTCATCACTTCTAAAAAGAGTCCCATGCATCACTTGCTACTAGTGTTTCCAGGAGACTACCTGATAGGCGCCACACAGGCAAGCGTGGGACTCAGGATGGTGCAGCCCGTAGAAGAGGGGTTTGCTCTGGGGTGCTCCCCAAGAGTTTAGGAACCCTTGCACC